AATACAACTAATGACATTTTATTCGTAACTTTTATAAATTAACGTAGCCTTGAAGGCTTCAAATTTAATGAGCAAATTCGAAAAGTCATGTAGTCATCAGCAAATTAAAATGGACTAATGAACTTTAAAATTAAAAATATGAAATAATCTGATTTATTTAATTAATTTGCTAATTTGTTTAGAAAAAAATAAAATAATTTAATTAATTCAATATAAAAAAGAAATTATTGAGTTTTGGATCTTCGATTCTTGGTCTAGACCCGACCTAAACCCATCGATTCTCGATTCGGGTACCCGTTCGAGTATTTAGCTTATGAAGAACCGCTCGGTTAGATTCGGGTTCGGTCCGGACTTTTGGACACCCCTAGCTAGATTAGATGCTTGCGATAATTTGAACTGTATGAACAAATTGACATGCACAAGTTTTCTATTAGTCAGTCTTCTCCATCTTCATTTCAACTTTCATGTAAATAATTTTAACGAGAAAAATTAAAGTAGCATTTGCAGCTTCATTCTCCTAGGAGTAGCTTGAAAAGACTCCCAAATACATAAATTTGATTGTTCCAACTATCCTCCAACCATAACATGGCACCAATCTAGACGAGTCCACATTTCCAAAGGTTTCTTGTCACTGATTTGAAATTAACAAAATTCAGAATGTAAATCATTGTTTCTAAAGGCAAAGTTGCTCTACCAGAGAGTAAAAGGAGTACAGTAAGCAATAATAATGATCTTACACAACCCAAAAACCTGAGTGAGCTTTCTCCAATGCTCTGTGACTGCAAAAATTGTGAGAAATTCAGTAAAAACTTCTTTTCTTGGAAGGAAGCTTGGACTATAACGATACATAAACTGAAGCATCATAACTTGTGAAACAATTTGACTTTTCTTGCAAAGAAGTCGATCAATTCTTTTCTGTTCTCCTGGGGATACCACTACCCCTCTCAACATGCTTATAGACTCTTCTTCTTTTCTATGGTTGCTGCAACATGCTGTTGCTGCTTCCTCCAAGCGGGCATCTTACCAGGAAAGGCCCATCTCAACAATCTTTCCCACGTGTAGCAACAAAGGAACATGAGCAAAGCCCAGATCATCAGCTTATCTCTCAAGGCTCTTGGCAGAGGAACTAACTTCAACCAATCATTCAAATCCCTGAATAAATCGGAGGTTATAACTGTAAAAAAGCCAACAGAAGCCAGAAGGGCATACAAAAATGGTTTGTTTTCTGAGATGCTCTGATTGAAAGGATGACCCATGTAGTTCACAGCAAAAGTGGCTACCTGTAGCATCATGCCCACCATGTATGAAACTGTATTCACAAGGTTGGGATGGAAATTTGAGTCCGGTTCGATACATTCATCTGGCATGTACTTTTCAGCCTCTTTCACGGAAGAAATTAAGAAGAAAAGGTGAACTGCAAATTGTCCTAGGAGAGAGAGGAAGACATAAGAGCAGAAGATGTTGGGATGAGGCCGTTCAGCTGAGAGGGTAGGAAGGGGCCGAGCATGTGAGATAAACAGAAAGAAAGCAGCTGTAAAAACCCCACTAATTGTAGCTTGAACATCGCCCAGTTTCACACCGTCCAAATTCATTACACTCAGGACGTAGGCAGTTGCAAGGCAATTGAGTCCAAGAATCTTGAACATCTGTAGGGTAGTGACTAGGGTACTTCGACCTTGACGGATTACATCGGTTGTAGGGGCAACCGAAGCATGCTTTGCTGTAAATGGTGATGCCATTGAGGCATCCCCGAGCTTAACAATGGGAGCTGATCGACCATCACCCTCTTCATTTAGCTCGAGCATGAGTATCTTCAGCTTTTCCCGTTGCATCTCTGCAACAGTCAAATGGCGGTTACCAGCATGGATGCGAGTAGANCCATCACCCTCTTCATTTAGCTCGTTCATGAGTTTCTTCAGCTTTTCCCGTTGCATCTCTGCAGCAGTCAAATGGCGGTTACCAGCTTGGTTGCTAGTAGATTCTGACCTTGAAACAGCTCTGCTCTTTGAAGGACCCTCTCCATTTTCAACTATGGATTTTAGTTTCTTTGTTTTACCAGATTTTGCAGAATCATTTTTAGAGGGTGCTTCAGAGGAAGATTTCTCCTTTTGAGCTGGGGGGATTGCATTGAGTAGAGCTACTCCTATATGTGCCTGAGTAACATATATAACATCATATACTATTCTAAATGAGGCATTTAAGTCAACGAAAGCAACAGATAAGAAAACAGATACAAAATAATAATTTTTTTGAAGACGTCCTAGCCATTAACGAGGAGATACAGAAGGAATCCGCATTTCACCACAAGCATGGAGTGAGAAAAGGGATTCGGTTATTAGTGCCCTTATATTGCTGAAAAAAGTTACTCCAGAATAAGTCTAACGTGCCAGAGTAAAATCTAATGGAACCTTTGGAAGGAGGGGAGTACTCGAGCAAATTGGTAAGAAGAATGCCTGCATCTAACTTGGTAATGTATTAATGAAAAGGGATTATAAACAATTTGTACTAATAAGCTCCTTTATATGAGTAATCTTCAAATAGGTTAATGCCCTACCATTTGCATAATGAATGCAACACTACCTAAGCTTCAGAAATTATAGGATATATAAGGACAAAACTTATTAACAAAACTTCCAGGCAGACTAACAATACTGTGAAACTCAACATGTGTCTAAGGGTGAAACTTTGATGAATAGCATTCGTGTAATACCTGCTTCAAAGCTCCAACATCATTTGTTCCATCACCACACATCAGTGTTACCCTTCCCACTGATTTAAAAGTGGTCATAATGAGTTCCTTTTGCTCAGGAGCCACCCTAGCAAATACCTAAGAGATGATATATATTTTGTGAGATTGAGAAACCAATGGAGTACCAAGTGTGTGAAATGAGAAGAGAGAGACTCGCAACCTTTACATATGGAATCACTTTAAGAATACCAGAAGTTTGCTGCAACATTTCAATGCAGTCGCCTCCAATACAAAGATCATATGACTCTGATAGAGCTTCAGCCTCATTTTCACTGTTAACAAAAAATAATATTTGGAATAGCTGAAGGGAAAGAAATAACAAGATTTTTATTTCCCAGTTTAGAGGCAGCTGAAGGAAGGAGCAATCAAGCAAACTTCTCTTAAAGGCAAAAAAAGCTTCATGCAGATGATGCAAAATGAGGTAGAAGAAAATGTCAAGAGATGTGTACAAAATAGAGCTAATTGATGGAAGAACATGGCAAACAGTAATGGAGCAACTTTGACACTGATTTTAGCATCCTCAAATCAGAAAGGCTCTTACCTGTACTTGATAATATCTGTCTCGTCAGGAGACACCCACTCATACTCTTCACTGTTCTTTCCCTTGCCGAGAATCAGTGCTGGTTTTGAAATAATATTAACTTGGCCAGCAACATGGCAAGCTGTCAAAGCTTGATCGCCAGTAATCATGACCTGACAAATATTAACATCATCTACATCTGGATATAGCCATCTCATGAATGATGAACATCACGGGCAAATTCAAACAAACAAATACTAAAGAAGGAATCTAGACACCAAATTTTCTTATTTGCATTGTAAAAATTGTTATTGATGCTCAATAAATATCTGCTCTCCCCTAACTGACATAACATTTAATTTAAGCTATAAAAGGAGAGATGATTCCATGCCTAGTCCAGTGGTGAGTTGTAATTGTTCAGCCACTCCAGATTCACTACACTTGAGTGGGATATACAGATTGAATTCAAGAAATTCGACAGCATGAGAGACTCGAGAGAAGACCGATCTTCACGCATAGAATCACAACTGTTAGCATATTTTCAGGTAAGTACATTGAATAGCCACCTAGGTCGATGGGAAAAATCAAACTACCACAGTTCACATTGGTTTTCTGAATAGCTAATGCTAAAGCTATTTTTAGCTTGCAGTCTAAATTTGGCATAGCCTGCATTTGTAGCATGAGCGCTTGTGATTTTAGTCACTAGAATGATTTTCCATCCATTTATCCTTTTTTTCATAGGTAATCAAATAATTTTATTAATTAAAGAAGAATACACAGGAAGTGTATTATCAACTTAAATAAGAAAGAAAAGACATGAAATTAGACAGCCCCTCTATAGAATTACTAATACTATACAAAGTCAGATAAAAGAATTCTCTAAGTTACTCTGTGGTCCGTGATTGGTATTCAAAACATCGGTTGTTCCTTTATCTCCACACACCATATAATACATCCCGGGATAAGATTCCAAACAAGCTTGCTATTTTTATCACGAATATTCTCCTCCATGCCCGCAACACATCCTCTATACATCTAGGCAACACCCAATCTATATGTTGAGAAGCCAGAATATTATGCCACAGCCAACGAACACCGTCACATTGAACGAACAAGGGGTCATGCGTCTCTCTATCATTCCTACACATATAGTACCACTCGGTTACGTAGAAGCCTTTTCTTCGGAGGTTATCCATCGTTAATGCTTGTGTGACAACCGTCCATAGTAAAATTGCCACCCGTGTAGGCAATTTACATTGCCACACCATCTTCCAGGGGCATGAACTCTCCACGGGACCGAAAAGGGATCTAAAATAAGAGTGAACTGGAAAAACACCATTCCGTGCCAACCGCCATCGACTACGATCTTCCTCTCCAACCCGAATTTTCACATCATACAAATGGGTTAAAAACAGTGCATAATCATCAAATTCTCAATCCTGCAAACCCCTCTGAAAGGTAATATTCCAACTATAACTCTCATTGTGGATGACTAAAACGTCCTTCACCATAGCAAATGACACCATAGTTATGCGATACAAGGAAATCTCACTTTTAGCGGTATATCTCCACACCAACAGTCCTCCCAAAAACTGATATTATTACCATTCAATACCACAAAAGTTAATAAGTCCCGAAGGTCGCTCCAACCTCGTCGAATATACCTCCACAAGCTCACCCCGTAAGACCCATGACCCTCACCCGAACACCAACCCCCCTCGATCACTCCATACTTCGCCCCAATGATTTCTCTCCAAAAGCTCTCCATCTCCACACCAAACCGCCACAGCCATTTACCCAATAATGTCTTGNCAAATATACCTCCACAAGCTCACCCCGTAAGACTCATGACCCTCACCCGAACACCAACCCCCCTCCATCACTCCATACTTCGCCCCAATGATTTCTCTCCAAAAGCTCTCCATCTCCACACCAAACCGCCACAGCCATTTACCCAATAATGTCTTGTTAAACAAAATGAGTCCCCCCATCCTCATAGGAGAGCAAACAGCATCCCAATTGACCAAATGAAGTTTTCTCTCCTCTCATAACCCTGCCCACAAAAATTCCCTTTAAATCATCTCTAATCTGTTTGCCACTACAACACAAATCGGAAACAGTAACAAAAAATAAGTAGGGATATTTGATAGGGTAGACTTAATGAGAGTAAGACAATCTCCCTTCGAGAGATACATACGCTTCCACCCTGCTAACCTCATTTCCACATTTTCCACGATAGTGTTCCAAATATTAATATTTTTAAACTGTGCCCATAAAGGGAGTCGTAGATATGACATAGGTAATTGCGCCACCCTACAACCCAAAATAACATCTAGTTCCTCCACGTTAGTGACCTCCCCTACTGTAATAACCTCAGATCTCTCCATATTTATCTTCAATCCAGACACTACTTGCAGTTGACCAACCGTAAAACCCTTTATCAAATTCTCCCTCCTCCCTTTCTCGAGCATCCTACTGAAAGTCTCCATTACAATCACAAATAGCAAAGGAGATAATGGATCCCCTTGCCTTAACCTTCTGTTGCTCCGAAAATAACCCTCAAGGGTACCGTTGACCAGAACGGAGAATGAAACACTTGAGATACAAAACTGAATTCACTTACACCATTTATCCCCAAATCCCCATCGCCTAATCATATACAGGAGGAACTTCCAGTTCACGTGATCATAAGCCTTCTGAATATCAAGCTTGCAAAATCTTGAGTCAATGCATTCATTCGCTATAAGAACAGAATCCAAAATCTGACGACCCTTCACGAAGGCATTCTGAAACTTAGACACCACTTTCCCAAGCACCTCCTTGAGTCAATTCGTCGAGACTTTCGCAATAATCTTGTACACCCCACTGACAAGGCTAATAGGGCGAAAATCCTTAATATCAGTCGCTCATGGTTTCTTAGGGATCAACACAAAAAATGTTGCATTAGAATTTCTCAAAAACCTGCCACGATCAAAAAAGTGAAAACATCAATAATCTTCTATTGCACCACCTCCCAACACGCCTTATAAAAAGAGAATGAAAACCCGTATGGTCCTGGAGCCTTATCATCATTCATACTAAACACCACCTCATTAATTTCATCCTCCCCAAATGGTCACTCCAACCATCCGGCATCCTCCTCCGAAACCGTAGAAAACTCCAATCCCTCCAACTCTGGCCTCCACTCAAACTGCTCCCGATATAGATTCTGGTAGAATCTCACCATCTGGGTCCCAATATCATGTGGATCCTCATAAGCAACTTCATTTACCTCCAACACTGTGACAAAATTGTTGCGCCTGTTAGAATTGGCGACCCTGTGGAAAAACTTAGTACATTTCTCCCTCTTTTAACCACGTGACTCTAGATTTTTGGCGCCAAGCAATCTCTTCTATCTCCACCATCCTTACAAGCTCTTCCCTTAATACACCACGTCTCTCCTTCTCCTCCCCATTTAACCCTCGACTCTTCCCAATCTTATCCAACTCTTCTATGTCTGATAGACACTGGACCTTACGGAAATTCACATTTCCCACCACCTCCTCATTCCATCTTCTTAAATCCCTTTTTAATGCCCCCAACTTCTAATCCAACACATAATTGGGAGACCCCGGGAAATCATAAGAAGCCCACCAAGTTCGTACACGTTCCCTAAAGTCTTCCACTTTTAATCACATCTTCTCAAACCTAAAATGCCTTATACCACTACCCCTAGTGTTCCCAGTTAACAAAATAGGGAAGTAATTAGAATACACCATTCCCAATCTCCTCTGAATAGCATCTGAGTACTTAGCCTTCCACTCTCCGCTAACCAAGAATTGGTCTATACGAGATAGAACGGGTTGATCAAAATTAGATGCACCGACTACTATGAGACTTGCATCTCAAAACAATGTTAATCTTGATGCTTATGGTTTTGAGTTATAAAGCTCTATTTTTTTATTTTCNTTCTCCCTAATAAAATCCGAAAAATCCTCCATAGCCCAAGTAAGTTTCCCACCACTCGACCTTTCAGTGGAAAATCGAACCAATTTAAAATCACCCCAAATACACATTGGAAGATTTCACCAAGTCATCATACCAGTCAACTCATCTCACAAGCCCCTTCTGCTCTCATCAGAATTAGGTCCATAAACTCCTATAAACATCCATTGAAATCCATCCCCAATATTTCTAAGCGATAGCGACAGCGAGTATGTCCAAATACTAACATCCTCCAAATCACACTCTCTAGTGTCCCGCATGATTAGCATGCATCCTGATGCCCCCGAAGACCCCAAAAACTAATATCCAACATGATGTCCCCCCATACGCTACTAATCACAGCCCTCGAGACGAACTCAAATTTAGTTTCCTGCAAACAAACAAGGTCCGCCCCCCATCCCCTTAACAAATTTCGAAGACCTAATCTTTTCCCAACCTCATTAAGCCTCCTCACATTCCAGCTAATATGTTTTGGGGTCATTTTAACACTTCGTCGTCCCTCCCCAGCAATCCTTGACTCTCCACCCTTAGCATCATAATTGACTGACCGTTCGAGCCGCTTAAGTTCGCGAACACCCTTCCTTCTTGCCTTGCCTTCTTGTGTACTCATCCCCTACCCCCTACTAGCCTCCAGTTCTTCGAATAATTGTATGAGTCTACTTTCGTATCCATTGCAAGACACGCCAACCAACTTACTGAACTCCTGAATTTTTTGAAGGACCCAATTTGAAGGTTGGGGTCCAGCTTCAATTGCATTCACCTTCATTGTTTCCTCTGCAAGACAACACTCCAAAGGGTCGTACGAATATCCCTCCACTTCCTCCACATGTACAATACCATTGTCAGTCCCCCCTTCTAGCTGCCTCTTACCTACAACACCAAAGCTTTTTCAGTCTCTAATTCTTTTTCTTTTAGAGACTTAACGAGTCTTCTGTTATATTCCCAACCATAACTGCCTCACAAACCGCCTCGTGCTCTTTCAGGACTACCGAAGCTGACTTCACCAAAACATGGGCCATCTCTTGCTCTACCGAGGGTAGTCCGATCAACAAATTCATGTCCATCTCGTCCAGTGTAGCTGACTCCAGGTTCACCATCTTCAGCATCCCTTCCTTAGACCAGGGGACCCCCTTCCGATTTGCTGCGAACCCCGAAACTTTCTCATCCGTATCCAACTCGACCACTTCAACCCCCTCATCAGTTCTGGAGTATACTGCTTCAATCCGTACCTGATACTCACAATTAGGCTTAGTCCTTCCTTGCTTGTCTTTAAGGTGAGCTGCATTCGATGATAACTCCTTAGGAACCAAGCCCGCTTTTTGTTTTTCGTTAACTAGGGAGTCATCCACGCCAACCCCACACTGATGACAAAAAACTATTAAAGTGACCCACCAACCACTAGCCTGATTAAAGTATCCAACTCTTCTTTCAACACCTGGACGCAGGCCCTTATTTCAGCATTGTTCATTATTCCACCATGTGAACCTTCTGCATGTGACTCCATAGGCTTAGGCACCCCAATATGATCGTCAAACTCCCTCACATTATACATTCTGTCATTTCGCACTATCCCCCGTTGGTCATCTTTATGCGATGTCTGTAAGTTGTCCGTAACTTTGACATAAGNACTCTCCCCCGTTGGTCATCTTTATGCGATGTCAGTAAGTTGTCCGTAACTTTGACATAAGGCATCCCTTGTCGATTTCTTGCATCCATCGTTCGGCATTTAGCTTTATCTCCAGCAACAAATGAATCAACAACAGCCATAAACACCCTCGAAAACGATGCCCATCCCTCATCATTCACACCTTCCGACACCATCACAATTCCCGTCCGATGCCTTCCTCCATACTGTGCTATCATTAAGTACCTACCGGTTGTTCGCACAGCGTTATGCCAAAAAAGCTCGCGAAGACTCTTAAAACTTAGAAACAAAATCCTTCGACTTACTAGCCTCTCAACTTATCCATCATATTCACCATCCATAGTGCACCAAACCATCCCATATAGATAGCCGCCGACATCCTCGATCCCCACTCTATTATCCTAACGGTACCTA